ATTGCTGCACAAAGTTCCGTACATCATAAACCTCAACCTCTCTCACTCTCTCTTCACTTTCTCTCTCTGCAAACCAAAACCCACTTCTTATTCCCACTTAAAATGCCAAGCACCATTCCATGTGAAAGATTCACCGAAACGCCACCACCCTTTGCAATTGCTGCACAAAGTTCCGTACATCATAAACCTCAACCTCTCTCACTCTCTCTTCACTTTCTCTCTCTGCAAACCAAAACCCACTTCTTATTCTCACTTAAAATGCCAAAAGAAAAAACGTCGCGGATCTGTTCCTCTTCACATATCTTTTTGAAACAGCCCGTTTCGGGCAACGAATCGGGCCCTTGGCCCAGCAAAAAATTGGGCTGTTACAAGGGTCAAACAAGCAAACACTCCTAAATGTTGTTCGATTACGAGTGTTTTCTCTCTCATGTTTAGATATTCTAGAATATGTTCTAAAATGTATATTGGTTGAATTAATTGTCTAGCATGTGGAATTGAATGAGATAATTTAGGGAGGTTTGGATCACGAAAAGTTTTTACTTTCTTAAAAATTTTATGTCGTTAGCTTTTCATGTTTAATTTATTTTTTAATTAAAAATAATATTCTATGATAACATTGTTTCTTAAGAATGGTTTTTTTTTATAGATTTTTCATGAAAAATATTCCCACGAGAAAGTGGAAAATTAACTTTTCCAATATAAGAATAAAGTTTTAAAATAGTAAAACTGTCATGTTACTTTTATTTATTTATTTGATATAATAAAAAATTTTAATTTTTAAATAACATTTGTAAATATTTTAAAAAATATTTATAACCAATTTATGAATTCCGAAAGTCATGATTATCAAAATTTATGATTTTTAGATATGAAAAAAAAATTGTGTATCAAACACTTCTTTAAATCTTTCTTCATGTTAAAAAAATATTGTAAAGATGACTCCTAGTTGTCCTATTTGAATTATTTATTGAATTATTTTCTTTGGCACCTTGTTTGTATTGCTAATTTTTTTAGTATGTGACTCTTTTCTGGTAAATAAAGAAAAAGGAGGTTGGGGAGGGAGAAGATAAAGCAATTAGCAAGATTGATTTGAAGATGGAAAGCATACCCTTGACATAACTCTTCCCTTGTAAAAAAAAATAAAAATAAAAATTTAAAAAAAAACAGAGAAAAAAAATAGTAAAATATAATACTTGAGTCTCAAATCTTTTAATTTATTATTGTGATAAGGTATGTGTGTCCTTAAATATAATTTTAGCGCAACATTGGCAATGAATGTGTTTGTATTTTTATTTATTTCCATATTCTAATATGTAATTTTTTACGGACAACTTAGTAGTGTTTAGTTTTTCTATGGTTGATAGTGGATTGGGAAGACAACAGGTGTGATGTGGTGGTTAGTAACCCATGTCACTCACCTTACTAAAGCTATTTATTTAATTGGTATTCATGAATTTTTTTTATATATTTATAAGTATCCAAGAATATTTATTAAAATATAAAGTTTTAAATAAAAAAAGTAAGAAATAAAATAAAAATATATAATAAAAAATTATAACATATATATATATTTATATATATGAAAATAAATTAAATTAAATTATTTTATAAATCTTTTAAAATATTTTTAATATTTATAAATTATCAGTTCTCGTGATAGTTTATCTTATTTCCCGTTCCTTAATTTCCAACTATCAAGTAAGTATCTATTTAACGATGTATTTATAATTTATAATAAATTTTATCCACATATTTTTTTTCTTCCATCCTTAATAAAGGATATATGTTGTGGTGGATCATATTGTGAAATTGGCTATATGAAATTATAACAATCGACTATAAATTGGTTGTGAAATGTAGTTCTATGATCTGAAATGTACAAGGTAATGAGTTTATTATATTAGACCTTTTTTAAAAATTAAAAAAAAAACAGAAATATCTTCTTTTTTTTATTAGTTGTAACCTTAAAAAAAGTAGAAAATCACTTTAGAAAATCACTTTCAAGAACGGTTGGTTAAGAATTGATGTAAAAGGTAAATTTTTTACATTAGTTTTAGTATCAATTAATGTAAGTAATTTTAATTTCTACATCCATTTGAAGTAAATGTAAATATTCTAAAATAACAAATATGAGATTTTTTTTAATTTTTATACTATTTCATGTCGTATGCACACTAGATCGTCAATGAATAATAATATGAGTTATTTTCTAAACTTAAAATATCGTTATATGCACTGAAATAAATATATATATATATATATATATATATATCATTGAAGGACCAAAACTAAAATTCACCATATTTATAAGAACTATAATCTTATTCAAAGAACTTTCTAATGCATTTCATGCCTTTGTTATCATTTGTACTCTCTTCTAATTTATAAAATGTCATACAAATTCTATGATAAAAACAACACCAACTTTATCCATTAATTATAAATATTAAGAAAAAAAAATCTTCTAAAAATACATGGTGCTATAATTAATATACCGTTTAATAATTTATTATATATATATATATATAAATTTAAAAAATGTAATTAAAAACTTGTTAGTTCATTTGTGCTCTCTTCTAATTTATAAAACGTCATGACCCATTCACACCTTATATTTTGGATAAGTGCTATGATAAATACAACACTAGCTTCATGCATTCATTATATACATTAAAAAAAATGCTTCTAAGAATATGTGGTGCTACAATTAATATATCATTTAGTAATCTAGCTACTATAAATAAAATATGAATTAAAAATTAAATATATTTATTTATGCACCAAATTAAATGATGAGAATATTTTTTAATATAAATATACTACCATACTTGTTCAAAGTAAATCAAGTAAGATATCAATACGCAATGAAATTTTACAAGTAAAATATATTATAGTGCTGGATTCTCCGTATTATTCATGTTAAAATGAGCAAAACCAGTTGTCACTTTAAAATGTCATCCATTAAAATGCTATTAAAAATTATAATCAATGTATGTATGCGTGAAATTAAATTATGAAATTTACTACACCATTCTTGCACAAGCTCAATCCAGTAAGTTACTAACTCAAAAGCATATTATACTGAATTCCTCTATATTCATCATGTATGGAATAATATTTAATGCTACATTTCAATGTGCAGAAACCAGCTGTCACACTCTCACACAAAACATAATACCAACAACAAAAATGTTTACGGAAACAAAGTATGCATCAAATTAGTCTATATAAAGAGATTGTTGGTGCCAGTAGAAACCACAACCAACTCTTTTCACTTCTCATTTGATTTTGTTTCTCCTCTTTTGTGATCACCATCATGACCCGGAGAAAGGTGAAACTTGCTTTCTTGAGCAATGATTCCCAGAGGAAGACATCATATAGGAAAAGAAAGAAGTCACTGCTGAAGAAAACTGAGGAAATATGCACCCTTTGTGGGATTGATGCATGTGCTATAGTTTATGGCCTTGATGATCCTGAGCCAGTGATTTGGCCATCTAAATCAGGTGTCCAAAATTTGCTGAGAAGATTCAGGACACTGCCTGAGTGGGAGCAGACGAGGAAGATGGTGGATCAAGTGAGTTTCATCCAACAAAGCATCACCAAAGAGAAGGAGAAGATGAAGAAGCTAGTGAAGGAGAACAAGGACAAAGAAATGACCTTATTGATGTATCAGTGTCTCAATGAAGGGAGGGTTGTGGCTGATAATAACATGACAACAGCTGATTTTTGTGTCCTTTCATCGGTGATCGACCAGAACCTGAGGGAGATTACCAGAAGGTTGGAAACTTTGAATATTGGAGAGATGACACCGCATCAACCACAGATTGAACCTGCATCAAACCAACCCCAGATGCAACCACCAGCACCAGAAGTGGCTCCAACCGAGGAAATGAGTCTGTTGAATTATGACCGAGGGTTGGATATGATCAATGCTAACCCTTTGCAAAACGAACAGTGGTTTATGGACTTCTTTAATGATAACAGGGATGAGACAACATTTTGGCCTAATCCATTTATTTGAAAATGCATGTGCTTGTTATTATCAGTCCATCTGAGATCATGTTTATGTTCAATTGTATATGTATTTTTTTTTTTTTTTACTGTCGTAGCATGAGTGTCAATGTGAAGACACAATCGCAAGTCATTACTCTTAATATTTTTTTGGTTAGTTGTTAACTTGTTACCTCATGTTGTAACTATATCAAAAGTTCTTTGTTTCTCTCAGAACATGACGCAAATTTGAAGAGAAAAAAAAGAACATCCTAAAAATTACTTGGAAATGCAGTGACAAGAATATTTGAAAAAAAGAAGTAGCTAGAGCAGTAAAACAAATTGTAGAAAATTCAGGACTAGCTTATACTAGAAATTTCCAACATTAAAAATATTATCTATCGTCATTCATGAGACGGTGATGGAGCCTATAAATAGGCTTTCACATATGGTGTACCTCCCAAAATGCAATAAATCCATGCTATTATACTACTTCTAAAATACCAATTATATTTTATACTATTTCTTAAAAAAAATTTCAAGTTTTGTCCACTACAAATCAAGCATAATTTATTCTCGTACCTACTTTCATATGAGAAAACTATAATTTTTAGAGCATCAAAATGAAGATACTTTCTTACTCTCAAGATTTATGGGACATTATAAAAGATGGGTTCATTATTCTAAAATGCATCAACTCCTACTGCAACTCAAAAGAAGGAGTTGAAAGAAAATAAGTAGAAGGATTCGAGAGTGTCATTTGCTCTTCAATAAGCAGTTGATGACATAATTGTTTTTCAAGAATAATGGGTGACACAAGTGCAAAGGAAGTTTGAAACACAATACAAGAGGAGTTTTAAGGAAGTGTCGAAACATTAAACTTCATTATCTAAGATCTGAGTTTAAATTAATAAAAATGAAAGAATCTAAGATCATAAAATATTACTATTCTAGAATAATAAGGGAAAAATATTCTTGACAAAAAATTGTTGAGAAAATTCTATTTACTATTCTCCCTAGATATGACGCAATCACATCTATGATTGAACAAACAAAAAATTTGTTTACATTATCAGTGACACAACTCACTACAAGAATGTTTTAATTTAGAGTCGGCCAATAGCCGACTCTAAATCATAAAAGCCGACGTAATATTGTCGATTATTCGTCAGTTTTTGGCCAACGCTAAATAAGTCGACACAATTTTTTTTGTGTTAGCTAAGCCGTCACTAACAAATTTATTTATTTTAAGTTTTTATTGTTGGTTAAGCCGACACTATGTTGACACAAATTTTATTTTATTTTTTTCTTTATCTTCTTTTTCTCATTTATCATTTATTCGTTCGTATTTTTAACATTCCTGGGACTCGATCCGTGAACCTTGAGGTTTTAAGTAAACTTGATAACCAAGTGTACTAGAACACATTATGCGTATATAACATTGTAAAAATTATTTTTAACTCTCTGAAAGCACGTATATTATTTAAAAATAGCGTCAGCTTTTTCGACGCTAAACTTAAAATAAATTTAATTTAAATTTATTTTAAGTTTAGCGTCGAAAAAGTCGACGCTATTCTTTAAATATAGCGTCGACTTTTCCGACACTAACTTAATTTAAATTTAAATTAAATTAGTGTCAGAAAAGCTGACGCTATATTTAAAGAATAGCATCGGCTTTTTTGACGCTAAACTTAAAATAAATTTAAATTAAATATTTTAAGTTTAGTGTCGGAAAAGCCGATGCTATTCTTTAAATATAGCGTCGGCTTTTCCGACGCTAAACTTCAAATATTTAATTTAAATTTATTTTAAGTTTAGCGTCGGAAAAGCCGACGCTACATCTTAAAATAGCATCGGCTTTTCCGACACTATTTGCGTCAGCTATTAGCCGACGCTTATTTTTCGCCGCTTATTCACCGTTTTCTTGTAGTGACTAATGAACTATCTTGAAGCCTATTAACAAAGATTGAAAAGGTGTGAAGAAGATTTCATTAGAAATGTTTTCCAATTAAAGCTAAAATTATAGTCTTAGAATAAAGAATATGGAGGAACTAAAATTAGTGTGGAAATTTCTAGAAATAAAATTCTAGAAGTTTCTCTAAGACCAATCAAGGAAAATATCTCCCATGTGGCATCTATAAAAAGACAAGTCACTTGGAAAAATTTTGTTGGCATCATGGAAAACCTTAGTGTCAACATTATAAGAAATTTGGACACGTTGAAAAGAAATGTTGTAACAAAAATAAGCAACAAGCAAATTTTGTCGAAGAGAAAGATAATGAACAACATCTTTTCTATGTTACATGATATTCAAACAATGAAGCAAAAGAAAGATAATACTTGGATAGCAGGTGTAGTAATCACATGGATAATGATTAGAGCATCTTCAAAGAAATTGATAACTCCATCAAAGTTCAAGTATGATTGGGGATAGCGCCATGGTAGAGTCAAAAAGACAAAGGCACTATCATGGTGGAGACTAAGAAAGATATGAGACTCATCAATGATGTCTACCTTTTCCCAATCTCAAAGAAAATCTCTTGAACATTAGCCAAATGATGGAGAAACGTTATGCTCTTCACTTTAAAAGAGATACATGCACTATCCATGATAACAAATGAAGAGAGTTAACTCAAGTTAAAATGAACAAAAGAAAATAAGAGGTTTTCCAATAAATTTCAAATATGCTATTAACATCGCCATGAAAGCGCAATTCAGTGATTCATGGCTATGACATCGAAGATTTGGCCACTTCAATATGCTTATGCCTTGAAGCTACTATATCAAAATTATATGATGAGATCTACTAGCTTTAAAAGAAATTAATGAAGCTTGTGAAGGATGTCTTTTGGGAAAGCAACCTAAACTACCATTTTCTACTAGAAAAGCCTGGAGAGCAAAAGACTTACTAGAGTTAATCCACACTAATATCTACAAACTAATGAGGACATCATCACTTTATAACGACAAGTATTTCTTCCTTTTCATTGATGACTTTTTTAGAATGGTGTGGGTCTACTTTCTTAAAGAAAACTTAGAAGTTTTTGAAATCTTCAAGAAGTTTAAAGCTCTTGTGGAAAAGTAAAATGGAAAACATATAAAAGTATTTAAAAGTGATCGCGAGGCAAGGAATAAAATTCACACAAGTTTGACAAGTTTTGAGAAGATGAAGGCATTGAGCAACAACTTATGATCACATATTCTCCACAACAAAATTGTGTACTTAAAAGACTTACTAGAGTTGATCCACACTAACATCTACAAACTAATGAGGACATCATCACTTTATAATGACAAGTACTTCATCTTTTTCATCGATGACTTTTCTAGAATGACGTGGGTCTATTTTCTTAAAAAAAACTTATGATAAGTTTTTGGAATCTTCAAGAAGTTTAAAGCTTTTGTGGAAAAAGTAAAAAAGGAAAACATATAAAAGTGCTTAAAAGTGATCGAGGAAAGGAACAAAATTCACACAAGTTTGACAAGTTCTATGAAGATAAAGGCATTGAGCAACAACTTACGATTATATATTCTCCACAACAAAATGGTGTTTTAGAGAGAAAAACCCTCACTGTTATGGAGATGGTAATATCAATGCTAAAGGAGAAAGGTATTCTAATAATTTTTGGGTTGAGGTAGTCTACACTAGAGTTTATATATTAAACATATATCCAACCAAGGCAGTCTTAGACAAGAATCCTATTGAAGCTTGAAGTGGAAAAAGCCATCAGTCAAACATATATGGGTATTTGGATCGATTTGCTACGTACATATTCCTTATCAAAAGAGGCACAAGCTTGAAGACAAGGCTATAGAAGGAACATTCTTAGGATATAACACACAATCAAAATGATATGTCTACAACCTACAAAAATATAAGCTCATCGTCAGTCGAGATGTTGAGGTTGATGAAAATGCTTCTTGGAATTGGGAAGAAGAAAAAGTTATTAAAAGCAACATTTTAGTTCAAGTGTAGCAATTTCAAGAAAAAGCTCAAGAAGAGGTAGAAGATACAAGTATGCCATCTCCACCTCCACATCAAAAACAAGATTCTCCACGAACATCTACTCCAAGACAAGTAAGATCTTTGGTGGACATGTATATGAAACTTGACAATATGGCCATAATTAAGCTTGACTAATATAAATACACAACAAAACAAGTATTATGGGTCAAGGTTGTGGAAGAAAAGATTAAAATCATAAAAAAGAATAATACTTGGGAGCTCGTAGATTGTCCACATGGACAAGACATAATTGGAATTGGGAGTAAAAAGGGTACATAAAACAAAGCTCAATCTTGATGGAACTATGCAAAATCAAAAATCAAGATTGGTCGATAAAGGCTACTCACAACAACCGAGAGTTGACTACAATGAGACATTTGCTCTAGTTGCTTGCTTAGATACAATTAGAGCTTTAATAGCTCTTGCAGCACAAAAAAGGTGGAACGTCTACCAATTGAATGTTAAATATTCCTTTCTAAATGGAATGCTTGAAGAAGATATTTTTGTTGAGTAATCACAAGGCTTCATCAACAAAGGCAATGAAGGAAAAATGCTAAGACAAACAAAAGCCTTATACAACTTGAAGCAAGATCCTTTAGCATGATATAGCAGAATTAATCAATACTTCACTAATCAAGGATTCAAGAGGAGTAAGAGTAAATTAACACTATATATAAAGACACTAGGTTAGTATGATCTCATTGTCTCCCTATATGTCGATGATCTTATCTACATATAAAACAATATGGAGATGATAAAAGAATTTAAAGAAGACATGATGAAGACATTCGAGATCACCGATCTTGGCTTAATGAACAACTTCCTTGGTATAGAGGTGTGACAACAAAAAGAAGGAATATTTATCTTTCAAAAAGAATATATTAAAGCTCTACTAAAGAAGTTCAAGATGTATGATTGTAAACCTATTGCTACTCCATTGGTGGTAAATGAGAAGTTGTAAAAAAATGATGGAGCACTAGAAGCAAATGCATCACACTATAGTAGTTTGATCAGAAGTCTTCTAT